ACAATTCATGGAAAAGCACAACCTATTCCTCACGAACACGCGTATGCGAGGGGAATATCAACTGCCTCACATACTTATTGGACTTGATCTTTACTGCTCTTTCGTCGATGAAAATACCGCCCCTATCCAGTTACCCACTGGTCTCCGGCTAGCGCAAACGGTGTTCGGATTCGCCGCTTACGGCCGCGGTCAAACGAAAGCACAGTATTCCGTGCACCCCAAACCATCCGATGGCCTGCAACACGGCAATTTCAGACTCCGAAATGCTCAAAAATATGTTTGAAATGGAAGGACTAGGTATTTCAACAAAGGAAGAAATTGATGATGAAAATGCAATTCCTATCTTTCGCGATATGCTAAACTACTTCGATACGATGGCGAAACCGTTAGTGCCCCATTCCCTCTGAAAGCAAACGTGGTAGATTTAGCGAACAATTACAATATGGCCTTTCGTCGCCTAGTCGCGCAGACGAAACATCTGGCACAGTTTCTCGAAAAGAGAGCGTGGTACGTGCAAACAATTGAACAGTATCTCGCGGACAACGTAATCGAGAAAGTAATCGAACCTGTACCAGAGTCGGTAGGAACCTACTATATGCCGCACTCGGGGCGTGTGGAGAGAACACAAACCTAATCCACTTAGGATTGTGTTCGACGCGTCTTCTAAGCAGAAGGGCCAGTTATCATTGAACGACGTCATCCACACCGGGGCATCATTCGTGAATAAGATCCACGACATACTCATCGCGAGCCGAACAAAGCCCATTATTCTTGTTGCAGACATACAATCTGCCTTCACGCAAATCCGAATTCACGAGTCCCATCGCGACTTGTGCAGGTTTCTTTGGGTACGTGATCCTGAAAAACCACCCGAACGAGGTAATATAGTTGAGTACAGATGGAAAAGATTGCCCTTTGGGATAACGTCGTCACCTAGCATGCTCAACATGGTTCTTTCAGCCTACCTGCAGAAATGTGACACACCACTCGCGAACGAAATCCTATCGCTACTTTACGTGGACAATGTTCTACTGGGAGCTTATTCCAAAGAAGGAAGCGGTAGAAAAATACAAAGAATCTAAGGCATTGTTTTCTGCAATAGGCATGAATCTGCGAGCATTCGTAAGCAACTGTCCAGAGGTCAATGATCAGATAAAAAGAAAGACAGAGCAGATGAAGCTCCTCGGAGTGGACTATGACCCCATAACGGACACATACTCTCTGAGAACTGAGTTCTCTTCCCGGCCGATGCACCAAATGTGCTGCCCCGCGATGGTTGTATAGGGTGGTTCAGTACAAAATGTATCAAGCACGTTTATGAAGCGATAACCAAGCAATCCTACAAGCTGCACGCGAAAAGAATGAGGGTCGCGTCATCGCACAGACGACTTGTAATCGCATGAAGGAGGACGCGACACGCTCCACGCCGGTGAAGATGAATTTGCCGAGACGACGACAGCGGTCGGCGAATAATAAACTGGCAACAATAATAAACTGCAAGAGCTGTATGATGGGTAGACGAAGGGAGCGATGTTTTCCGGAAGTTCCGGGCCCTTGGAATCCCCCCGAAGCTCGTCTTCGCTGCGCCACCACAACAGCTCCTCCGGCCGGGGCCTGAACCGGTCATCTCTCCGTAGAGAGGAACTACCACTAAAACTACTTCACCTGCCCTTTTCAGGACGGGGACCGTGGCTCCTTTTGGGAGACCGCACTCGCTGCTACCAGTAATGATCCGGCCCATAGGGATCATCTCGTGTAAACACCTAGCCTCTGGTCATGACCCGAAATGAACAAACTCTGTCAACTCACAAATCGGTTTATCCTTAATACACAATAGCACTGGAACGAGATCCTCCGAGAAATAATGCACATGTTCAGCGATACAACAATACACAGTAATAAGTAGGGGGAACATCCCAGATCAGCAGCGGGGTTCGGATCGACCGATCGACGAGGGTCGACGGGGGCATGGCGCATCCCCGGTTCGAACGGTAGGTGGAGTAGGAAGTCGGAATCGTGACGCCAGACGAATCCGTCTGTCCCTCGATCGTCGAGGTGGAGCCAAGAGCCTCGATGTCCCCGCTCCCCGGCTTTATTTTTCGGGTCCACTCGCACGTCCGCTTCAATCGCACTGAAAAGAGAAACCGAGGAAAAAACCGAACAAAAACAATCTGAGGGTCGACAAGACATACCGATTGTATGAGTCAGGGTTGGGCACGCTCCATCGCTCCGTATCGGCCTGAAATACTCTAAAATTATATGATTGAAATGGAACAGTTAATGATTTCCCCTTCCATCCTTTTTGACAATCCTGACAATTTAGCGGTGATTAGAGTTTTGCTGTTAGCCTTAGAATGAAAATGAAATATGCTCCTTATAAAAAGTGAGATCTGATGCTTATCTTTGCTTTACATTCACACTTTCGCAAATCCTAAAGTTGAGCGGTTTAATGAGTTTGGCTTCGCTCGCTACCGCGCGTCAAAGTACATAGGCGGTAACAAAAATGAGCACAGCCGGGCCCTTGTGTTGAACAGCACTCATGCTTTTGATGGATCTGAGAGATGTTATCAACGAAGGTGACTATACTGCTGGTGATAAAGCAATTATTTACGGGAGCTCGTCAACCCCACAAACGTCCATCATTTTTCGGAAACTAACATGGTCTAGCGGCCGAATAAGCTCAGATAACTAATACCTTTGTTGAAGTTGCACGATAGTTGTTTACGCTATCAGGACTATGCATGAACAACTATCATGCTTTGGATGTTGAGATATTCTAGCGGTTGCAATTCTTACGTCTATTGTTACGTCTATGGCATTGAAAGAGAAGCACCAACACCCATTATGCACAAACACCGACCATCCCAGAAAGCCCGGAAAGATTAGCTCGTATAACTGGCACGACGGCAAGTTGCCGTCGCACGCGCCCGCGTTTGTACGATATTAGACAGCGGCTTCACGGGTTCTTCGGGTAGAATTCAACGCGTGTGCAGATTGCGGATAAACTCCGCATGATTCTGCTGTTTGAAAATGTTTCCGCTCGCGGAGATTGGAAGCAGCAGTATCGGTGAGGTTTCAGCGCAAGGATATGAGTGAGGACCTTCATGTAAATGTCACTACTACCAAAAGCAAAACAAGAGTCAATAAATTTGGGTGTATAAAAAAAAATACTTTGTTTGAACTTATATAATGTCAAAGATATATGTTCTGCTGATCGAGGCGTTCATGTCCCAAGGAGAAACATTGGAAACGAAGTCCCAGCAGAGAGGAGGAACGCCAGAGAGAACACAATTACCCCAGAATCCCTTCTCCTCCCTAAGGCTCGGTTCCAAACACAGTAATTGGCTCACTCCCCTCCCCCCAATGGAACATGCCCCCAACACATGAGCGCCCTGATTGCCGAACAGCACTATGCGCTAGTTCCTTCTCATCTCTTCCTACTGTTACAACCACCACGTCC